CCCTTAACTCCCAGCGTCCACCCGGGCTACTGCCTCAGCAATGGAGTCATGCATAGTCCTTGCGGACAAGTTTCGCTACTTACGGGAGTACTGGAGGCCCTCGGTGCTGGCTAGCCAGCGAGTGTAGGGGTTGTCGCTGCTGTCGTAGAAAGGGCTCTTAAGGGGCAGGCTATGCACAGCGTCCAGGGCGCCCTGCCCCAGCGGCCCGGCCCTCTTGGCGGGCTCTGGCCCTTCGCTTTCCTCCTCCGGCCCTTCGGCCACAGAGCCTTCCTCATCGTTGGTGTCCGGAAGGTCCAAGATGTCCTTGACTGAAAACCCCGTCTTTGTGTTGGTCAGCGACATGGTTCCGGACCCCGCAATTTATGCCGCAAAGTTGTATCTTCACTTGGTCAGTTCGTGGCGCTCCCCAGCCCGGGCGGGCGGGGGAGGGGGTTAAGGGAAGGAATGGGGGGGAGGGATGGGGGATGGGTTTTAATTATTGGGATAATTATTATTTAAAATGAGAGGAAGACACTGTGGGAAAAGGGAATAGGAAAAAAATAATAAAGCCCACCCGGCGCCTCTCTCTTCTCAGAAAGCACGCGGAAATGTACGCAGTGACTGGAGGCCTGCGCGCCCAGCGCTGCGCGGCCTCAGTTTGTAACTCCAGGAGGGGTGCCAAGGTGCCGTCAGCTCGGGCTCCGGCGGCCGCTCCGCGCGCGGTGGCGGCTGGTGGCGAGGAAAAAATGGGCCATTGCCCGAGCGATCAGTCCATATAAGGCTGGGCTCCACTCACGAACCTGGGGAGGGGGGAGGGGGAGAAAAGGGAGGGAGGAAGGGAGGGAGGGGGATCGAGGGAGTGAGAGAGGGGTGAAAAAAAGGGGGAAGAGACATTAAAAACGCAAAGGTTGGCCACGTGTGGGCGGGTCTTGGGAGTCAAGTGGATGAAGACAGTATTTGCAGATGTGAAATTGTGGGTTTTGGGGAGCTCTGCGCTCCCAGCCAACGGCCCTCTAGAGCAAGATGAGAGGTGTAACGTGTCAATTAATTGCAAAGATGGGGAGAGCTTTTTTCCTCCCTCAGTATTTACATACAAAGGGCCACCGCGTCGCTCGCGAGTCCACACACTTGAAAGGCCGTTTTAACAAATTGCATCTTAAGGCGGGGGGGGGGTGCGGGGGGAGCCGCTGGGGTGAGAAAGAAAACAAACAAGAGAGGAGGAGGGGAAAAAAAGAATCCTCTGTAACATTCACCGGTTCCTACCTCCCCACAACCCGCGCGCACCCCCCACCATAGCTAGCCAGAAAATTGGCGATTTGAGGAGCCTTTGGAAAAGGGGGAGGGGTGAAGACGGAGCCGCTGAAATCTCTCCTTCCCATCGCTGGTGGTTCCCTAAACAAGATCCGGTTCAAATGGCAAGAGCCCAACTTCTGTAAGCCTCCTAGGTCAATATTTTGGTTGAAGCTTAAGGATGAGTACTAGAAATGACAAGTCAAGTAATTGATTCTAGTTAGCCGCGAAAGAGCTGGAAACCCAGGAGAGGAATAGGCTTGGACCTGCCAGAGCCACCACTGAAGAGGACCCCCCCCCCACACGGCCCTTTATTTGCTAAAGACTCATTTACCACCCCCAGCCCCCAATTTCCTTGCAGTAGAGGAGGACTCGCCATCACTTTCTGCTCTGCGGGCGGTCCAGGGAAGGGAGGGGCGGGAGCCTGCTTCTCTCTGGCCAGGTTCGGACCTGCGTCCCAGAGCCTCTGGCCTCCACCGGGTGGAAGGGAGAGCTGAGGGCCTCTGTTCCTTCCTACCTTTTATAATCCTGGCCTCTCCGGCCCTCGACTACTGCAGCCTTCAGCTAAAGGTGGAGCGGCGGGAAGAGAGCCGGGATTGTGTGTGTGTGTGTGTGTGTGTGTGTGTGTGTGTGTGTGTGTGTGTGTGTGTGTCCGACCCGGGTGAGGACGCCGGAAAGCCACCGCGAGAAGGTTGCCGGGCTAGTTAGTGGTTGTTGCTATGTTTTCTCTTGAGTTTCCTTCTTTCTTGCGAATCCTTTAGTTTCTCCAAGTTTTTGCTCTCCTCGGGGAGTGTGCTTGGGGTGGGGCACACTCCAGGCTCCCAGTTGGCATTAGGTTATTGTGAACTTTCTAATAACCTCTTTCAAACCTGGGAACTGAACTTCTCTGAGCTGGGAAAGAAAATGCTGTATCTCACACGCCCTTCATCCAATTTAAGTTCAGAAGTCTTGGGCCTGGGGAGGAAGTTTGCTACGTACTGTTTGTCGACCCCATCTAGAGTCAGGAGTGGACTTAGCCTCTCGGTGGAGGGAGGCAGAGAAGACCAGGCTTGGGTCTTTTCTTCCCAACTGTCTCTGCTTGAATGCCTTAGCCCAGGGGAAGCAGAGTGCTCGGGAGCCGAATCCTCCCAGCGCACAGCTGCTTGGGCCGCCCCCACCACCCCCGGGTTTCCAGAGCCTTGTGACAGCGCCTCTCTCCGAGCTGCTCAGCGTCTTTCTGCTGCTCTTGTTGCCTCGCCCCCAGTATGTGACGTGGGTGACAATGGCCCAGGTTGGAGCGAGCCCCACGTCGGCGCGTCCTGGGTGGTCGGACCCGGGCAAACACAAATACAAACCGATTGCTAAGCTGCGGACAATGAGCGAAATGTAGACAAATGTCCCGCTCCCGTTGGAAGCCTTTGTCCAGGCCCGGTTTTTGCATTTATTTCAGTGGCGAAATAATACATGATTGACGCTCTCTTTCAATGTGTCCTAACTGTTTGGAATAAATCTAAGGTTGTCCCTAGTTGTCATGGCATTCAACCCTTTTCAATGGACTATCTCTTCATTCATTTCTGAATCCGTCCACAATATTAAGGAAACCCCTTCATGTCGACGTTCCCCATTCCTCTTTCTCCTAGTTTTTCTTTTCTCCTTTCTTCCTCTTTTTTCCCTTTGCAAGAATTAGTATCTGGTTTGAAACGTGTTCCTCAAACTTATTACTTTCTGTGCTCCCCACCCGCTTCCAGCTTCTTTCCCAGCCTTCGTGCCTGTAGCCTCTTCCTCCCTCCTTTCAGAGGAGGGCTGACTGCCTATGGGGTGGGAGAAGTCAGCTTTCCAGAATTGGGAAGAACCCAAGTTAGATCCAGGGGCAGGGTGGGCTTACTACACCGTTGTTCCTCCGTGACTAAATAAATACTGGGAGAAATAGTTTCTCAACTCAAGCATTGCAGGAAAAAAAGAAAAAAGAAAAAGAAAAAAACCCACCTCTTTCTTTGTTCCTCCTCCTACTCTTCTGTCTTACAGGAGGGGACCTCCTTGGAGACCAGGGAGCCTCCAAAAGGATGGGATATGGGGCCAGAGAACAGAACCCAGGCCAATTCTTGAACTTGGTGAAAAGGGGGTCTTCAGCAAAAAAATGTCTCTTGTCGCCAATTTCAGAGCCACCTTTAAGTCTTTGATGTGGGTGTTCTCCCAGGAGCCCCCCAGAGCCTGCCTGCCCATTTCCTTGGTCTTAGAATCACATAGTTCTCTATACTTCCCAACTTTGCTCCCCCTTTCCCTAGTACAGTGGGCCTCTCTTCTCGGAAGTAGTCAGTGGCTACTGACTATGCCCCCTTCCCTGGAAAGTGAACCCGAGAATTGTTCATTTTCCTAAGGGAATCCTGGGAATTAACGGTGGTGAGGAAGTGCAGGCTCGGTGCTTTGAGACTGACACCCCTCAGCCCCAGTTCACTGAGGGAGGCAACCCAAATTTGTAGACGCTGTCCTTGCCAGTAGGTTCTCCAAGACCTACTGGTGGGTCTCAATTAAAGGGAACCAGAAGGCAGCTCAGCCCACAAGCTCCTTTTCTGGAGTACCTCAGGGCCTGTCCTCCCTGGGCCCCTTGCCCAGACTCAGACAGTCACCTGGCTTTCTCCCAGCTCCATCCTCACCCCTTGAACCGGCTTTTGTAGGTCTGGGGGCACCTGGCAGCTAGACTAGGAGGGACAGCAAGTTACAGCAAGTCGTGCCCCTCCAGTCCTCTCCTAGGGGACCCCAGGAATACAGTTCCTCACCCCTTCGTGGCCCCTGGGGTTTCCTCAGCTGCTTCCAAAGCGTTAACATTTGCAATTGAAAAGATGAAGGAAGCCCGCTGGGATGCTCGTAATTGAGGGGGAGAAACTGGGCTTGTTAGAGGAAGATCATAAAATGCAAGTCCCCCCGGAGGAGCCAGCCTACTTAGGGAGGCCTACACCAGCGCTGGTGGAGGCCAGGGACAAGTCTCCCGCCTAGATTAAGCTCCAGCATCATCTGAACTTCGAGGGCTGGGTTTGGGGTCAAAAGAATGGATGGGTCAGAAGCAAAGGCATTTATTTTAACCAAATTAAACAAGCGGTTGTCTTCTAGGGACTCCCCCAAACGCCTCCCAGAGAGTCACCACTAGGCCTTTGGATCATCTTCCGGGCAGGCTGAGAGGACCCAGTTGCTTGCCCCTTTCTCCCTCAATAGAGTTCCGGCTACCCTGACCTTGCCAGTTCAAGACGTATGAAGTGCCTGCTTGTGCGGGCATCAGTTTCAACTCTACAAGGAATTGCGCTAGTCTTGGCAACGAGGAATTCTGTAGTAAACTCTTTCCAGGCTGTCTTGAGTCCAGGAGAGGTCTACGTTTTGAGTGCCATCAAGCTTGTGTTTGGATTTAACTGCCCCAATAGGGCAGCCCGGGAGTCTCCGCAAAGGGCCTTCTCCTGCTCTTGCAAACTTAGGGAGGGAGTTGAAGTGGGCACTTAAGTTTTCTACACCGAGAGTGCCCTGGGCTAGAGGAAGACCGGTTTGACATCTACGTGGTGGAATAACGTGTACTCCTCCCGGGGTCAACCGGACAGCTGGAGGCCTCTTGCGGGAGGCCCTGGTCTTTATCTTCAGGCTTTCATTCTTCCAACACTTAGAAGAGGCTCTCGGTGAGTTGCCAGCAGGCGACAGAAGGAAGGCCCTCTCTTCCCGGAAGCTAGAGGAGAATCTTCCTTGGGATGCTGGGGTAGGGGTGGGGGCGGGGGAGGCGGCTTCTGAACAGAAGGAAGCACCAGCTCAAGCGACTGGAGAGCCGGCCACCGAGCTGAACAACCACTGGAGGCCCAGGAGGGGAGGAGAGTGTACACAGGCTAAGTGGTCCCACTCCAGGACAAGTGGCCTCCAAGTCGGCCGGTGTTTACCTGTTTACTTTCTAGGTAGCACAAACACGAGTGCCTTTTTCTGCGCTCTGGAGCAAGGGGCCATTCACCTGCGACCTGCTTTCTGCCTTTCTCATTTCCACCCGGTGGCTTTCACGCCCCCTGTTGGGGGTGTGAATTCTAAATTCTAGCAAACAAGCCAAGGAAGAAAGGCAGTTTAGGAAAGGCCAAACAGAGGCTTTGGAGCTTCGACAGGAGCTTTGTCCGTGTACTTATGAATGAGGTAGCCATCCTGCATGGCATTTTACTACCCCACCCCCATCTTAGCGGGGCTTGAAGGGCCTCCTGGGACTTTTGAGTTTATATCTCCTGCTTTCTGCGGGTGAAAGCTTGGTGGGAAAGTGAGTTCTCTAAGGGAAGAAAGGGTAGATGAAGTCCTAGGGGGCAGGGGTGGGGTGGGGTGGGGCGGGGGTGGGTCCTTGGATCCAAAGGGGGCAGACGACCTTGAGGAGCCCAAAGCTTCGGGGGTCACCCCTGGTTCTCTCCACCTACAAAGTACTTTCAATCGTTAAAAAATACAAGGTCTTTTCCCTTTATTTGGAAACACTGATTTGTTTGACTTCATGTATTTTTATTATTTTTTCTTCTGTCTTATTTTTTTTTTTTTAGCTCAGTATGAGGCTGAGTTCTCAGGCCCTGCACATCCCATCTCAGATAACAACCTTCACGTGGATTAGTTTATTGTCTGGTTAGTGCCAAGGTGCAAGCGTTTGTCTTCCTTCACTCCGAAACAAAGCGGCGCACCTTCCTGCTCCAGTGAGGATTAACGGCGCCCACACAAAGGTTTTGTCGGAGGAGGGAGGTTTATTTTATCTCAGGTTTGGAGGCAGAGACTGGTACGCACTCGAAATAGACTGCATAGACAATGGCTTCCATTCTGATTCCCAGGAGCAATGATGATGATGATGATGATGATAATAATAATAACAATAATAATAATAAAAGATACCGTTCAAAACAGACCCTGGGGTGGTTTTGGGAGAGCTGGGGTTAGAGGAAGTCGAGGTGTCAGCGCTGCTATTCCACGTGAAAGAAATTCTGGCTTTGTGGCCTGGAGTACCTCTCAGCTCCTTCCCAACCCGGAAAATGTGCTGGATGCTCATTGAAAGTCACTTCTAGCTTCAGTTGGTTGGCCTCCACCTTTGCCCCTGGAGCTAGGAAACCCTTGAGATCACTGCGTGTCTGTGCTGCCTGGGGGTCGGCGGAGCGCACTGACCGAAGCTGTGTGGAAGAGCCAGGGTAGGAAGGGCAGACTTCTGGCAGGGAAGAACCTGCCCTCACTAGTTATAAAGCAGATAGGGCAGAACATAGGGGTTAGCTGAGTGAAAGCAATCCACTTTGGGTTCAAGCTAAGGTGAGTTTTCCCCTTTCTTCTTTTCTTTGGTGCGTATCATGGCATTAACCCTTTAACTACAGGAAAGGAAGGATGAAGGGAGCCGTCCAGATAGTCCCCTGAGTCAACAAGAAGGTGGGCTCAGTAAGTTTTCCAAGCCCAGGGACTGAGCTCCAATTATGTTGCAGGAATAGCTGAGAACTCCCACCCCCGGCGGCAGACAACCAGAGAAAAATGAAAACTAATCAATCATGAGACCTACAGCCTGGGGTCCCCAAGCAGGTAAATGTGGTTGCAGGAGAAAGATAGCTAAAACAGGCAGCCCCCCTTTTTCATTTTCAAGGCAAAATATACAACACTTTACAATTATCTGCCCCCACCAAAGAGAGAGTATCTCCCTAGTATGTAAATTGTCATAGAAATTGGGATTTCTCATATTAATCGGCCTCATTGTGTGGGCACAAGACCCCGAGGGTATATGTTAGGACTTTGATAAATGCACTTTAATGAGATCTTTGAAAATGCATCCAATAAACTAAGAGGCGAGAAAAGCCGTTTAACTTTCATGGATGTTAAATTGAACACGAAATGTGGCTCCGGGCAGACTACAAAATTTAAAACGTAGTTTTAAGCCTCCCTCAGGCCAAAGGAGCCTTGTTCCAGCTAACCCATTATCGTCGCTTATTGGGAAACCAAACGACACGTCCCCGCAGGCGAACCCCTTTGCTTTATTCGTTAGCACAGCTCTAATGATTAAATATGGTACAATGAGATTACGCGTCATCACTGTTGCCTTCAGGAACGTTCTTCCAGCCAAGCCCGACCTTCCCTTGATAAAGGCGATTCCAATGCGGGAGATTCGGGTTTCTCAGGGAAGCAAGGCGCTGAAAGCACTTCCTTATCTGAATTTACTCCTTAACACGTGACAGAATCATTACCACAGACTTTGGGAATCAAGCTGCCTCTCATAACCCGTTAGCATTCAACACTTCAAGCCAGACCAGGCGGGCTGATGGGCAACGTAGTCACCCGTGCGAGAGGAAGGCACACTCTTAGTCGGAGCTAAATGCACAGAGAGGCAGACGTGCACCCGCGGGGGCCTCCGGCACAGAGCACAGAAAGGGGGCGACTGGGGCTCTGTGTCTTATTCCTCCAATCTGGGCACCGGATGTTTCCCAGGAAGCAATGTCCCTTCTCCATCCCATGTGCAACCAAAGTGGAGAAGGCGCGAGAGGCATAGAAAGGCCTGTTTTGTGCGTCTGCGTGCTGGGGAGGGAAGGGCATGGCAGGATCAACGGAGGGGTCTCCCAGTAGAGACCCTGACTTTAACAGGCCCCACCAAGGTTCATTTCTGATCCTCTGGCGATCTCTACTGTCACAAACGAGAACTGTCCAGCGCCTGGTGCGGCCCAGGAGACACTAACGTGTCAAACTGCAGGTTTTCGTTGCCTCCCCAGCGACCACCGTGTCCACAGCTGCAGCCCCAGCCCTGTGGGTCCTCGCTCCGATTCCGCACCACTCATCCTCCAGCTCCTCACGGCTCCCAGCCCCACTCGCGTGCCAGTTCCGCCCCAGAAGGAACCTTCCTTTCTCACTAGGCGCCATCTCCAAATTCCTTGGGATTCTGGCCTCTGTTTACCACCCTCAATCGCGAGTCACCAGCGGCGCACACGGGAAAGACTCACCCCGCAAAGGTGGGGGCCGCGGCGAGTCCTTCCTTACCGCAGCCAGCAAAGTCGGAGAGTCGCGGGGGGTGGGGAGGAGGCTGGCAAGGCGCTAGACTCGCCTGCTCCGCCTCCCACTCCCAGCGCTGTGGGGACAGCACCGCGGCGTTTCAACACGCGCCTTTATCTGGTCCTCCACCTACTGGGACGCCCCCTCCTGCTGCGCCCTTCCCCCCACCACAGGCCTCCCGGGCGGGGCCCGAGGGTCTGCGGGGCTCGGCTTGGGCGGGGGCTGGGGGTGATGGCTGTGGACGCCGCTCCTGGCCGCTACACTGAGGGATCGTCCGCGCCAACCCAGCTACCCCTATTTCCCAGAGCAGCCCCACGTGCTGTCAGGTTTGGTCACAGCAACACCTGTCTTCTGTGGCAGGTAAAACTTTTCCCAACGACAGATGGGCCGGAGGAGGAGGCTGCCCTTCCGGAAAACCTCCTTCCCCGCCCGGGTGACCAGCCAAGTCCTGGGAGGACTTAAGATGCCTGGGTCTGCCCACCTGCTGCTTCCCGACTTCGTGACTCTGGGACAGAGCCACCCCGCGAGTCCAGAGATGGACGAGTGGGTCGCCACGTTTATCAGGGGGACCCCAACCCGAACACAGGCCAGCTTAATTCCGGTGGCTCAACGAGGTCCCAGCCCTGGATGAGGTCACATCCCGGGCGATAGCAGAGACTCCAGCGTTTGTCAGCCCAGAAAGAACAGACAGTAGATCCTAGCAGCGGGAAGGGGCGCCGGGCCTCATCTGTCGCCGGGTCGCCGCTCCCGCAGCCCCCGGAGCATGCATGTAGGACGCGCGCGAGCAGGAGGCTCACCTGCGGCGCGGCAGAGGCGCAGTCCGACTCGGCTAGCTTGCGGATCCCTGCCTCGGGGACTCCCGGCCTGCCGCTGGGGAGCCTGGAATCGCCGGCTGTGACGAGCGCCCTCCTCCCGGCTCTGGGCTGGGGCTCCAGCCGCGCTCACCCGCCCGCTCCCGGCCGGCGGCCACAGCAGCCTCAGCTGAGGGGCCGCTCCCCCGCGCAGCGCTCTGTTTGTTTTCCTAGCCCGACTGACGTGAGTCAAAATATTGGCCATATGTTCAGCGGTAATAAATTGGGTATGAGCGCAAACACACTTGGGCTTCGATGGCTCTTTCAGCTGCCACATGGCCAGCCTGGGAGGGAGGGGGCTTCCACCTTCCACCCTGCTGTGGCCCCTTTCCCCCCAAATCCGAGGTGGGGCTTCTTGGTGGCAGCGCCCTTCTGAGCTGGAGACCCGGGCCCACAGTTTCTCCTTGCACTCGCTCCTCCTCTGTGATCATCAGTACCTGGCTTGGTGTAGCTCTTGTCGAGCCCTGGCTGCTGGTTAACAAGGTCGCCATCTATAAATTGCTTGGTCGCTAAGACGCCATAAAACCAAAGGGCCAGATGTGGCACGTTATTTATGTGTGAAACCGCGTTTACATTAGATACGCGGGTCCCAGGCAGATAGCACTTGGTAGGAGGTCACAGACCTCTGGTCCTCCGCTCCAGGCTCCTCCCCTGGTGCACTCCTTAGCCCAGATTGAAGAGTCTTCCTGGGAAAGGTATTCAGCTCTCTGCAGCCCAGGAAGAAAGTGATTCCAGGGTATTTGTGCCAAAGTGCCACCTGTCTAGGGTTAGTCAACCTCACTCCCCCTTCTGACCCCTCTTCTACTTCTTTGCTCTTGCGCCCCCCCCCATTTCTCAATTCTGGGAGACTTCTTTTTCAGAAAGTCCATGGCACTTAGGTCCGACCCACAAAAGCTGATACTTGAAAGCTACTGGTCTTACCCAGTTTCCCACGTAGGTGGGATAAAGGCGGAGGGTCTCTGACCCCAAGGGAGTGATTGATTTGGGATAGGGGTCATGCCTAGGAAGCTGAAGCTCACCTGGAGGGAACACTGAGATTACTCCTTTCTCAGGGACCCCAGTGTCGCAAATTCAGGCTGTATTTAAAGTAAAGGAGGCCAAGGCCCTCCTAGAGAAGCCAAGCTGGCAGCCGGATGTGAAAACCAGCCAGCCCCGTGTGCTTCAGGAAATGCAAGGACATATTGCACCTTAATAGAAAACAATTGTCTTGCTTTTCTCTTTCAGAAGGCAGTCTGCAGACTGCATGTCCCCAAACTGGTCACCTCACACTTCCCTCACATGAATTCATTAAGAGTCATTGTCTCTCCTGGCCATTATTTGATTCTTTCTTGAAGTGAACCCAGCTCTCTCTGTGGTTAATAAGCACTGAGCCAGGCCTCCTACCTTCCTTTTCATCTTCAAAACACCTGGGGTTCCCTGAATGACATCTTCCTTCTGGCCACAGAAAATCAGAGATGAGAAATGTTACCCTACTGCAGGGAAAAACATAAGCATCTGACTTCACTATTACAAGTTACCCTGGCATTGTGTTTCCTGGATAACTGTCCTTAGGTGGCTGTTAAGGGTGGAAAATGATGCTATTGAAGGGAGGTGGGAAGGAAAGAGAGAATGGGTGTGGGGGGTGGGGGAGAAACCATTCAACAGGTCACAAGGGAGCTAGAAAGCCCACCTGGGCGAGAACATGGACAATACCTCTCTGGGTTAGCAGCTTTGAGCCTTAGCGAGAGTATCCAGAAATCTCTAGTGACCATAGAAAAATTTAAATCTGCCTTCAGGACTTCAGGGATGGTTGATGTTAGAAAATCACTTCTTGGATTTTAAGTCATTATTTATGTTTAAAAACTGAAATACAGAATCTTTGGTTTTATATCACCTTCAAACATCTAGACTCGGGAGTTTGTGATGAACTGTTTCTTTGGAGGAACTTTCTGCTGCATGTCCAGCATTAGACAAGGGGAGCTGATGGCACCCTTTACATTAGTTGCCTTGTGGGGAATGATGTGCTCTGTGATAGACTCTTGTGGGTTTCTCCTGCTGGTATCAC